CAGCAAGACCTATAGGACTAAATATTCATCATAATGTAGGCATAACACCNCTTTGTTGTCCCGTTTAATACAACCAGCAATCGAGCAAGCAAGATAGTTCATGCCCACTATAAGAGCCTTCAAGAGAAATTCCCCCATGTCTATAAGCAGAAAATGATAGTTGCATATTCAAAAAATAAGAACTTAAATGATAATATTGTTCATAGTAAACTAAAAACAATCAGTACATGACAGATACTATACTTCTCGCCTATCGGGCGAGTTATTTTTTCTAATTTCAGATCAGAATAAGAACAGAAGAAAACCCAATATCAAGACCCTTAATCCTAATTTCTAAATAAAGTGTCTGCTCCACCCTAGGCCTGTACATTTGGGAGAATCAAACCCTCCCTTCCCCGAAAGCTAATTTGATGTTGATGGTAGTCTTGCTTGTTGGTACCTTACCAGTGGCAAGTCCTAAACTTCAACCCAACATGGTGAAAAGGCTTTGGGGAAACAATGGTAAGTATAGAAGGGATCGCTGGGATCGAATACGGCTGGGAAAACATTCCTTTGAACTCTCCATAACCATTTGGCAAGCCACATGCCGCTGAGCGTAGATCGTTGATAAATTAAGGAAAATACTTGAATGTAATGCACCTATCTTATTTTGTTGTAGATTGTGATAAGTACATTCTGCCAATACATACGATGTGGATACCAAGAGAGAGCTGTGAGGAAAATAAGAGATTCAAGTGCCAATCCGGATATATACCAGAAGTTCAGACCAAATGTAAAAACGGAGCATGGTATTTGGAACCAACCTGTCAAGGTAAGAATCAGTATTTATACAGACTCTGTACATTGTGATGTAGTTGTACATGTTTCTTTTGTAAATAAAGTCAAGGAAATTGGCAGCTATTTTATAAAATGATATTTCGTCAAGAAGATAGGTATCCTTTAATGAAATGAAATAGAGATGTACAGGTCGATTATACCATACCCCAAGCAGTGGCGGAGCCAAAGGGGGACAGAGGGGGCAGCTGCCCATGCCCCGAATGCAACTTTTTCGGGCAAAAGTCTCATAACTAAGTTAGAGATTCGGGCAATCTCAGATATCTCGCCCCCTCGGNCCCCCGTAGACGTTAACCTGGCGCCGNCACTGTTAAACATATCACTTTTTTTAACTTTTTTTTACAACTCTCCTGATAAAACAAAATACAC